TCGTGAAAGCTCATCTATTACAAAACTAGACTTTCAAAATGGTTAAAATTCTGCAACGGACAGGGCTGTCTGTCCCAGTCTTTGGTTTCCTGCCCCGAGGGTCTGCCTAAAGGTAGAGGTTCTAGACAGACGCGACTGGTACAAAATATCTACATTGTGTTATACGAAAAAAGAACTCTAAACTGTGAACGGGGTTGAAAGATGAAAATAACATTTGTTTTTTTATTAATACCACCAAAAGTAGGTCGAACAAAAATCCTCGTGGTAAGTTATAAACGCAACTAACGCAACTTTGGCCAGAGAGTTTGATATCAACACCTGGTTCTTGTTACTGAAGAGAAGAGGGAGAGCATGCAAAAAATATATATATGAGGAAACTGTGAGGACATTCACTACGCCGCGAAGTACAAGAGGGAAATGTAACTGCATTCAAAAAAAAAAAAAAAAGAACAAGATCGGCATTTCTTTGCTACACTTGAGTAAGATCAAACTCCCAGGTTATAGACAAAGCTGTCGAGACTGATCTTAGGGAAGTTAGAGCAAGAACAGGGTAAAAATCTGCCGATCTTCCCTACTCGAAGCTGAATGCACATTACATCTCTCCTCGCCCTCCGCCGCCATAACAGTTTTTAACGATCTTAGTAATGAAACTACAACAGGTCCATTTGTAGGAAGACTAAAGCTTCTTCTAAAAGCTCTAAGCAAGACTTCTGTACCTGAATGACACCCGCTTGCTGGCTCGAGTTGACTGTCTCTTTTGACTTGGGTGTCTGGTGGGACCAAGACGCCATAGTTACTGATTCGGCTCAGTGAGAAAAACGTCGAAATGGCCATCTATTATATTATTAGTAGTATTGCTATTATTATGGAAACCTTAAGAATATCATCATGATCTCACTCAACAACTTTGGTGATGAAAAAATGGAAAATCTCCTATCTGATGGTTGGTATTAGATAGGGAGGGGGGGAGGGGGCTTCTCTGTACCTGAAGGACACACGCTTGTCGAGTCGAGTAGAGTGCCGCTTTTGGCTTGGGTGTCTGATGGGACCAAGATGCCATGATTACAAAGCGGACAGACTATTTGGGGAAAGTCCATGGCCTCTGAACATCAAATCATTAATGGCAAAATTCTGTCTACAATGGCAAGATTATCTATGATCCTCTCCTTTCATGTGAACACTAATTTTAACCCTAACATGCCTGGTTCTTGGGCTACGTCTTTTCATTCAAGTTGGCAAGTTACAATCAAGTACTTGTTTGTTGCTAATTGCCTGGGAATAAGCTTTAAAGCCTGCTCTGCATTACTAGAATAGATTCACTTCATCTATGCTGAATGTTAGGAATGTAATGATGAATCTTGTGTATCTGATACTAGATGATGATATGAAGAAGTCTGTATATGATACAATTACTCATTCAAATAAGCTGTTAGCAGGATATAATGCAACTACTGAGAGTTAGGCCATACCAACCACTATCGCAAAGGATATTGGAGTAAAGCTGTCAAATCAAAATACAGTTATAAACATCTGTCAAATGTTGCATGGCGATGGGATGGACGTTGCAGAAGCCTAACCTCAGCTGCTCTTGTGGTGAAGAAACATTTCATTCTTTAATAAACTCGTACAGATGTAGACTTCATCTTTCCATCCATCGTCAGCAAAACTTTAATTATCACTTATCTTATCTATTACCATGACCTTTATATACAAAGAAAACAAATAACAGACTTCTGTTAACAAAGCATATAGAGTAAATTCTCATCTTGTGATAACCTCTGTTGCAGCTGGTGTACTGATTATTGCTCAGAGGATGGCAACAAAGATATCCTGCGAGAACGTCATGAACATCACTTGAATAAAATTGACACAATTTCTTGCACAAAAAACTACAACTCTTTCCACACCCATTCACCCTAGAAGCCTCCACCACAAGTGAGAGTACTGTGGCTGTTACAAAAGAGCTGCAAAGAGCGTGTTGTTCTGTTGTCAGTCTGTACGAGAGTCTTCAAAAGCATAGAGAGTCAATGGTAAACAGAGAAACTCCTGAATGCAAGATGGACTCCCTGATAGTAAAAGAGCGGAGCACATATACCAGCTCGAAGGCGATGGAGGAAATGGAGGCACAGTGAGGCAGATTCGGGTTGGAGGAACTTAACATTATACTTACCCGTTGCTATCTTCCTAGTGTTTTCTGCAATAGCATTTGGACACGGATGTGCACTCTCAGTTACTTACATGTACGTACACATAAAAGCAAACCTGAGTGTACATACAGGTTAACTAACTTTCGTCTTCATGATCATATGGACATAAACAAACGCATGTAGTAACTCTTTCATTCTTTTACTCCTTCGTATACCCACCATTTTCATTCATGGGCTTACTCATAACTACGTTTAACTACGCACCCATATGTAAATAAAACACACACACACACGCGCGCACACACACACACACACACACACACACACACACACACACACACACACACACATACACACTCGCACGCGCGCGCGCATTTAGGAACTGGACCCCAAAATACGCACACACATCCACACATCCACATTTACGAACAGAATGCGAAAGCACGACAACCTGGACCACTCTCCGCTTCTTCCGTATTCCAGCGACTCATCTTCGACTCTCTTTCCCATCTTGCTACCACTGCCTACAGGACTTCAAATACCCTTTCGAAGGCGCGATGCCCTTCAGCCAACCCTACTGCAAACTACCCTACAAGCATTAGAACTCCACTTGGCTACAGACGTCCAACTTTCTAACTGCCGAATCTTTCTATCTTCTGCCCCTCCATCTTCTTACCTTCTTCTTTTTTTTTTTTTTTTTGAAACCACAACTCTCCTTATCTTATCTCCCTTCCCTCCCACTCTACTTATTCCCTCTCCCTTCACTACAAAGCTTCTAAGACCTCGAAAAAACTTGCTCCAAGCTTCCCTCTCTACTCAGTCCCTCTACCTCTCTCACTACTCACTTCAGTATACGCTTGACGGGCGCCTCGTCCTCCAGGCTTGCGCGGTGTTCTGCCGTTAGCGGCTCCAGTTCGAGGGTCTCATTGTCCCTTGAAGAAAAACAGGGAACAGTAAGCGACAACAGGGCCAACAGATGGCAGGATAGAGGGGGGGAGGGAGGGAAGGAGGAGGAACAGGAAAAAATAGAGAAAGAGAGAGAGTGAGAAGGAGCTTTCCTGTTTCGTCTGCTGGTCTGTGAAGGAGGAGTGTTGTGGAGTCATGGGGTATGGGGGTCGGGGGGGTGGGGGGTCTGAGGTGGTGCGTTCGTTCGGAGTGGGGAGGGGAGGGGAGGGAGGGGAGACGAGGAAGGGGACACGAGGAGGTGGAGACGACGACGGGGAAGAGGAGGAGGAGGAGGAGGAGGAGGAAGAAGGGAAAGAAGACAAAGGGGGGGGGAGGAGGAGGGGAGGGAGTGAGGAGGAGGAGGAGAGGGAGGAGGAAGAGGAGGAGGAAGGGAAGGGGGAGGGAGTTGGGTGAAGGTGGAGGAGGAGTGGGAGAAAGAGAAGGAGGAGGAGGAGGAGGAGGAGGAGGAGGAGGAGAAGGAGAAGGAGAAGGAGGAGGAGGAAGGGGAGGAGGTGGAGGAGAAGGGAGATGAAGAGAAGGAGGACGGGAGGTAGAGCAAGGAGATGAAAAGGGGATGAGAAGGAAACGGGGGAGAAGGAGGAGTAGGAGGAGAGGGGACAGGAGGAAAAGAATATGACAGGGTGGTTGTAGAGGAGGAGGAGGAGGAGGAGGAAGGAGTGAGAAGGAGGAGTAAAGGGAGGGGGTGAGAAGAAGAAGAAGGAAGAAGAAGAGGAGGAGGAGGAGGAGGAGGGGGAGGGGGAGGGGGAGGGGGAGGGGGGAGGAGGAGGAGGAGGAGGAGGAGGAGGAGGAGGAGGAGGAGGAGGAGGAGGAAGAGGAGGAGGAGGAAGAGGAGGAGGAGGAGGAGGACGAAGGGGGGAGGAAGAGCGAAAAGGGGAGAGGGAGCAGGATGAGGATGATGAGGAATGGAAGAGAAGGAGGAAAGACAAGAAGAGCAACAGAAAGATCCTCCTGGTGAGAGAGGGGAGGGGGGGGGGTGGAGGTCAAGGTTAAACTAAGACGAAGGAAAGAGCGAGAAGGAAGGAAGGAAGGAAAGGTCATGCGTGTGAGGCAAGGAATGTGTAACCGAGTCCTGTGGAAGTCGAGGGCGTAGGAGCTCGAGGAAACAAAGAGAAAACAAAGAAGAAAAGAAAAACAAGGAAGGAGGAAAGGAGAGGAGAGGGCCAGAGAAGTAATAGCTCTCCCGGGGCTTTGTAGCGAAGATGGTGACAAGCTTATTTTAGCAGAGATGGTGAAAGCTGAGAAAGAGGGCCGAGCAGATCTGCGAAAAGCTTGCAAGAGTCGTGCCAAAGTGGAAAAAAAAAGTGATGGATATTTCAAAAGCCAAGAGCACAAGATATAGTTAAAGAAGACGCTTGGGGTGGTCTTTATCATAATATATTCACTCCAAAGCCAACATTTCTGTGTAGGAATGTTCTATATCTTCGACCAACGGTTCTAAAGTTTAGATCATCATGCCGTACCATCGATTTAGAAAAAAAAAATCTTACTCTTAAGCTATCTCCTATCCTTGTACTTTTTACTTGGTAGTCACTGCATCATTACACCTACTGTGTTATTTTGTTAAGGCGTGCGACCGTTAGGTATTTACAGGTGAAAGGTGAGACACGAAGGGTATCTGTTATCATTACTAGGTTTATGTTTGTTATTATTACTGGGGTTTATGATACGACTGGTTATCATCCTTGGCGAGTCTAAAGACAGTGCACTGGGGTCGTGATCCCGCCACCTCACTCACTATATCCAGCTCAAGTTCTCTATTTCTCTCACACTAGGTTCCATCAGCCTGTTCAAGGCTTTTAAAATCTGCGTCAAGCTAGACTTTCAGATTTGTCTTTATTCTATCTATCTTCTATTTTAATTTGTTTTGTTTTATGCGGTCAGTACAGG